TGGCCTTTTGCAGAAGTTGGCTGACCCCTGGACTAGACCAGCAGCTCTCTTTCTGGGAAAAGGGAATTGAGACACAAGGAGAAAAATAAAAATGGCCTGAGATCACAGTCTGCCAATGGGCAGTTGAGAATTCTTGTCTCCCCATCAGGGCTTTTTTCACTACACTAATGAGCGAGCAGGTTCAGGGGCACCCAGGTGGCTCAGTCGGTTAAGCACCTGACTTTGGCTCAGGTCGTGATTTCACCCACAGTTCATGGGTTTGAGGCCCAAATCAGGCTCTGTGCTGACAGCTCAGAGTCTGGAGCCTGCTTCGGATTCTGTGTCTCCTTCTCTCTCTGCCGCTTCCCCACTCAGGCTCTGTGTCTCTGTGTCTCTGTGTCTTTGTCTCTCAAAAATAAATAAACATTAAAAAAATTTAAGGGGCGCCTGGGTGGCTCAGTTGGTTAAGTGTCCAACTTCCGCTCAAGTCGTGATCTCATGGTTGGTGAGTTTGAGCCTTACATCGGGCCGTGCACTGACAACTCAGAGCCTGGAGCCTGCTTCCAATTCTGTGTCCCTCTCCCCCATTCCACTCGCACTCTGTCTCTCTCTGTCTCTAAATAAATAAATAAATAAATAAATAAATAAATAAATAAAATACATATTATTAAAAACACACACACATACACACTTAAAAGAATGCACGGCTGCATATGTAAACCTCAAGAAGGCAGCCCTGGCTAAAGTGACTCCAGAGTGTAACCTTTTATCCAAGAAAACCAAAATCGAATCAATTTATGGTCCTGTCCCTTTAAAAAAAAAAGGAAAAGAAAAAGAAAGAAAGAGAAAAAAGAAAATAGGTCAGAAAGGCCTGAATTGGTTTTGATGATGATATACGTATGTATGAACATAAATATAAGACACTTTCATTTTATTGTAAACAAATTGCCAAAGGTGAAGTCAAGTACAAAAAAATCCCCACATCTAGCTTAGAAAAGAAGGCACAAGCGCCAAATTAGCCGCAAAAGAAAGGTAGGCATTTCAGAGAGAAACACCCACACATTAAAACCAACCAAAACAGGGGCACCTGGGTGGCTCAGTCGGTTAAGCATCTGACTTCGGCTCAGGTCACGATCTCACGGTTCGTGGGTTCGAGGCCTGCATCGGGCTCTGTGCTGACAGCTCAGAGCCTGGAGCCTGTTTCAGATTCTGAGTCTCCCTCTCCCTCTGCCCCTCCCTCATGCTCTGTCTCTCTCTGTCCCTCAAAAATGAATGAACAAATAAAAAATGAATAAATGAATTTAAAAACACAAAATAAAAACACACCAAAACACTATTTTCTGGGTATTGGGGGAGGCTGGAGAGGAAATTAGTTTTCCTACAGCCCTAGGGGCAGGTTTAAGTAGGCGAGGGGAGTTGTGCTCATGACCCAGATCTGTCCTTGTTCTGAGTGGGCTGAAGAAAAGAACATCTCATTTGGGGAAGGCTAATCATAAAATAGGGCTAGTGGGGCTTGCAGCCTAGTATCAGTGAGGTATTTATGAAGTGTAATTAATGTTTGCGGCGGGTTTGGGGATCCTCCAGATTAAAAGGTGCCCGGTATAAGGTGCAAGGTGGACGGGTGTTCCTGCGAGGGCAAGTCCATTCTGTGGATGTCACCACTGTTGTTTCCTGAGGGAGCAGGAGACAAAAGTAGGTTAAGGCCATGTGGCGCAATCCTTCAACGTGACCCAGAACAGGAAGCCTGCAGAGGGAGACTGTCACATCAGATGGTGTACAGAAATTTCACCGAGAATGCATCAATCCCCAGAGGCAGAATGGTTGGCTCGAGGACACCCAATCATGCCTAGAAGAAAGAAATCTGGTGGGGCTAATTGGAAAAACACATATGGCACTTCCGGCTTTATAAGCAAGGGGACTGAGCTGCATTACTCAGCAAATATCTTTCCTCTGCTGGAGTGTGACTTCTGAGATTTTCTGAGAACTGAGTTTTTTTTTTTTTTTCCAGGTAATCCTAAAGCGCCCGGTGCTGGGTAACGGCGGGAACTAGGCTGGAAGTCTAATTAAGAATCTCGTATTGCAACACTTAAAAACACTTATGGGATCCTGGTGAGTTCCTAATGTCTCATTCCTAAATTTAATCTTAAACTGCTCCGCTGAATCCTCCTGTATGACCATAGCTAATTATGTAATAGCAAATCATCAGTGATCATGACTTCTCCTTGCAGATATTCCGTGAGAATCACAGAGAAGGGCTTCTCCTAGGAATAAAACCTTAGCGTGGGGCGCCTGGCTGGCTCAAGTTGGTAGAGAATGAGGCTCTTGATCTTCGGGTCATGAGTTCAAGCCCCATGCTGGGCGTAGAGTTTACTTCAAAAATATATATTAAAAACCAACCAACCAACCCACCATAGCATATAGGAAATTGCTTTCAAACTCCAGAAATCAAGTATATTACCTACTGTAATCCTGGTAAGAAAATAGAAATCCACTGAATGGGACTTTTTTTTTTTTAGTTATTCTTATCAGCTAGAGCTTTGGTCCAGATCAGTCCTACAATATGTGTGAAGATCGTATAGATTTATCATGAAAATAGGCTGGTGTACTTGGGTACGTTAAGAAATTCTCAGCAGAGGGGCGCCTGGGTGGCTCAGTCGGTTAAGCGTCCGACTTCGGCTCAGGTCATGATCTCACAGTTTGTGGGTTCGAGCCCCACGTCAGGCTCTGTGCTGACAGCTAGTTCAGAGCCTGGAGCCTGTCTTCAGATCCTGTGACTCCTCTCTTTCTGACCCTCCCCTGCTCATTCTGTCTCTATCTCTCTCTCAAAAATAAATAAAACATTTAAAAAAAAAAAAAAAGAAATTCTCAGCAGAGACATCAACAAATTTGAAATTTTATTGCTACCTAGAAAAGTAAATCCACATCCCTAATTTGTTTTGTTTTTTAATTTTTTTTAACGTTTATTTATTTTTGAGACAGAGAGAGAGCACGAGCTGGGGAGGGGCAGAGAGAGAGGGAGACACAGAACCCGAAACAGGCTCCAGGCTCTGAGCTGTCAGCACAAAGCCCGACACAGGGCTCGAACTCACGGACTGCGAGATCATGACCTGAGTCGAAGTCAGCCGCTTAACCGACTGAGCCACCCAGGTGCCCCCCACATCCCTAATTTGTAATTGCTATGGAAATTATAATCTACCAAAAAACAAGGCAAAATGAAGAAAGGAAGAAAAGGAAAGGTAAGAGAATACTTATGTGCTCAGTATTATGAATGTAACTTGGAACTTTATGACACTCGCGTACAGCGGGCTGACTTAGATGGTTTTGGGTTTTTTGGCCTTTTTATTCTTTGTCAGCTCTGTGACATTACATGGGTTAAAAGGTAAAAGTTGACAAACCAGTTGACAGACACGTTAGGTTTTGCTTTATCCCTCTAAGGGAAAAAAAAAGTCTCTAGGGCGCCTGGGTGGCTCAGTTGGTTAAGCATCTGGCTCTTTTTATAAAAAAAAAATTTAATGTTTATTTATTTTCAAGAGAGAGAGACAGAGAGCAAGCAGGGGAGGGGCAGAGAGAGAGAGAGACACTGAATCCAAAGCAGGCTCCAGGCTCTGAGCTGTCAGTACAGGGCCCAGCGTGGAGCTTGAACTCACCAACTGTGAGGTAGTGACCTGAGCTGAAGCTGGGCGCTTAACCACCCTAAGCATCCAGCTCTTGATCTCAGCTCAGGTCATGATCTCACAGGTTTGTGAGTTTGAGCCCGGCATCCAGCTACATGCTGTCAGTGTGGAGCCTGTTTGGGATTCTCTCTTTCCCTCTCTCTGTCCCTCCCCTGCTCGTGTGTGCTCTCTCTCAGAATAAGGAAATAAACTTTAAAAATTAAAACACACACACACAAAAATCTAAGTAACAATGACCATCCTTCTATGACATTTACATAAAATTTCTCATTTAAGGAGTCAAAAAACCCACTGGACTCCTAATTCTCCTGAACATAAACACCTTTAATTTGAATCACGTGTCTCAGACTACAAAGCACTTTTACATCTATTCTTTGTTTTCCTGGGTCTTCAAAACAACCCTGTTTTGAAATGAACTCAGTGAATGTTTATTGAACAACCACTGTTTGCCAGACATTGGTTTAGTTTAATGGCAGAGCCACACAAAGACCCTGCCAAGAGCGTCTAAGAGACATGCTCAAGAACATGGGAAGTAAACCGAAACCTCTGGACTGGTGTGCTGTATTGTTATTCTCACGTTCAGTCGGGGGAAATGAAGCATAGATAACTTCCTGGTCCTGACACCGTCTCTCAGTGAATCAGTGGCTTTTCTTGTGCTGACTTGTTTAACCACTCTGCTTACCAGCACTTACACCCATGTGCTCCAGCTTCTGATCTCTTACTAGATGAACTATTTCTATCTATAGTTTGGACAGGAAGGGAGATTTACTGACGGGGCTGCATGAGGAGGTGGCATTGCCACGGTTCCCCAGAGGGCAGGGCATGCCCTTTGTTCAGAGGGCCACCAGTGGGGATGTGTTTGACCCCACAGCCACCTGGGGGACTTTTCAGCCACTGTGTCTTTAAATCTGTCCACATTAACTCAGTAAAACCCCACTTTTTTTTTTTTTTTTTTTTTGACAGAGAGAAAGAGTGGGAGCAGGGGAGGGCAGACAGAGAGGGAGACAGAATACGAAGCAGGCTCCAGGCTCTGTGAGCCCAACGCGGGGCGTGAACTCACTATCCATGAGATCATGACCTAGGCCGAAGTCAGATGCTCAACCGACTGAGCCACGCAGGTCCCCCAAACTCCACTTGAAGATGTGGATCTGCCAGCATCCAGGGAACTTGAACTTGGCCCTGCTTAGAGCTTGAATCACATGCTTCTTATTCTGCAGCTTGGTACGGATGGACATGAGGACTTGGTCAATGTGGACCTTGGTCACTGTGCCCTGAGGTTTTCCAAAGGTAGCTGCATACCTGTCTGGAGCCTAGATTGGAGATAGCATGTGCTCAGACACGAATGGCCACTCTCTCCGAGGTCCCTTAAGGCAAATCATACAAGCAACAGGCTGCATACACTACCAGGGAGGCTGTTTGCAGCCATCGCACACTGGCCCCCATGGGGAAAGTGTATGTTCCATTTAATTGGCTGAGACAGATGAACCACATTCTATTCCTGTCCAAAGCCAGTTCCTTCTTGTATGCAGTCCTTCTCCCCTACTTAAGAACCCGGATCCAGTCAAACTCTCCTGCCCACATCACTTATCTACTTATAAGCAGTGTTATACAAGAGTCTGGTAATTTCTTCCATCTTAAAAACAAGCAAACTTCTCTAGACCCCATTTTCCCCAGCCCATATCCCTCACCAGCTACCACTCCATTTTTCTGGTCTCCTTTTGCAGCCAGCTCTTTCCATTCTCTAACTTAAATGTCAATTACGTATTTCTTGAATAAATGCACACAAAGGATAAGGAAATTCAAGTATTCAAAGGACTTGTCATAAAAAAACCCAAAATTGGTTCTGTTTTTCTCCAAAAGGCAGAAACATAATCAATGGTTAGAAGCATCCAGCATGGGGGGACATGAGTGGCTCACTCCAATAAGCACCTGACTCTTGATTTCGGCTCAGGACATGATCTCATGGTTCCTGAGTTTGAACCCTATATCGGGCTCTGTGCTGACAGTGTGGATCCTGCTTGGGATTCCCTCCTTCTCTGGTCCTCTCCCACTTGTGCTCTCTCTCTCTCTCAAAATAAATAAACTTAAAAAAAAGTTTATTTAAAAAGAACCCAAACATCCAGCATATTTGTACAAATAATTTCATTTTCTCCAATATGATAGATGCTATCCTTTTTTTTTTTTTTTAAGTAAGAAAGGATATATGGGGCACCTGGCTGGCTCAGTTAATAGAGCCTGCAACTCTTGATCTCCGGGTTGTGGGTTCAAGCCCCACGTTGGACATAGAGCCTACTAAATAAATAAATAAGAAAGGAGATATGTCTTTTTAAAAAATGTAGTAGTCTTGGACCTCTCAAGGAAGTCAATTATTCATGATATATCCTCCATGCCAGCAACTGATGTACTCATACCATTAGAAATAAATCTCAAGTCAACTAATTGGTTTGTGAAGGAAAAGACCTTTTGTTTCTCAGCTATATTTAAGTGATTTCTCAGGAGGTGTGAGAAAGTCCTACCAGGAAGCTGTGTCAGAACAGCCGAGGATCCTGACATTCTGATATATTGTAGGGAAAGAGTCTTCCTTGGCCCCCAAATGGATCAGTACAGGGCAAATCAGGGTAACTGATGGGAGGATTGTGTGGGCTGGGACAAGGGAAAATTGGTTTAAGACTACATAAGCTAGCCAGGGCAATGTTTCGTGAGTATTAGGAAATATAAATTCAGGAGCGCCTGGGTGGCTCAGTCTGTTGGGTGTGTGACTTCAACACAGGACAGGTCACGATCTCACAGTTCACAAGTTCAAGCCCCACACCGGGCTCTATGCTGACAGCTAGCTCCGAGCCTGGAGCCTGCTTCCGATTCCGTGTCTCCCTCTCTCTCTGCCCCTCCCCTGCTCACATTCTGTTTCTTTCTCTCTCAATAATAAATAAAACATTAAATTTTTTTTAAAAAGAAAAGAAAAATGTTAATTGATCTATATTTATCAGCATACAGGATTCTTAATGGGTGGAGCTCAAGCCCAGGTTGAGAAATATGTTTTCTTTTTTTTTTTTAAATGCTTTATTTATTTCCAGGAGAGAGAGAGACAGCGTGAGCAGGGGAGGGTCAGAGAGAGAGGGAGTCACAGACCGAAACAAGCTCCAGGCTCTGAGCTGGCAGTCAGCACAGAGCCCGACGCGGGGCTCGAACCCACGAACCGCGAGATCATGACCTAAGCGAAAGTCGGACTCTTAACCGACTAAGCCACCCAGGCGCCCCGAGAAATATGTGTTCAAATAAAGCACAAGTCCAATCGATTTAACCGTCACTCACTGGCGGTTGCTACTACTTGAGCAGTCTCCAACATGACAGGCACAGGACACCTGTTGAAAGGGGCACCTTCCCATTGTGATAGAGTCAGTTTGCCATCATGGGTCTAGGCTTTTTACAGGAAATTCAACAAAAGCTGCAGAATCATCAGGGATTACTGAGGTACATGCTTGAGAAACCAGGGCAAAGTCTGCTTTGCTGCATCTGTAAGCGCTCCGTGACTGGCTGAATCACCTCAGACTGCTGGTGAGCACTGCTGGTTATATAAATTCCAGGAGAAGCTATCTGCTAGATTCCTTGTCCTACTGACCAAGTTCTCTTCCAAGTACTGACCAAACTCCAAGTTCAGGATTTGCAGATTTTATAGGAAGTAGTAGTCTTTAAAAAACTTTTTTTTAATGTTTTATTTATTTCTGAGAGCAAGAGCATGAGTCAGGGAGGGTCAGAGAGAGAGACAGAGAGAGAGAGAGAGAGGGAGACACAGAATCTGAAACAGGCTCAGAGAGCCTGACGCAGGGCTCAAACCCACGAACGGTGAGATCATGACCTGAGCCGAGGTTGGTTGCTTAACCGACTGAGCCGCCCAGGCGCCCCATAAAGGTTCTGAGTTCCCAATTCTTGCACCAATCCAGTAACTTTCTGAAACTGAATGTACTTTCTACCATCACTGGCCCTGGCATCTTCCCCTCCAAATCCACTGTAGTACTTTTCCCAAAGTGTCTCCAGACTCACTAAATTTTTTCTTCAATCTAGTTCAGGTAGGCTCTTGCCCCACTGCTCCGCCAAAACTTCTCTTGTCAAAGTCGCCCATGACCTCCATGGTGCTCCAACAGTCAATCTTGCCTCACCTTAACCTCACCACAGCATTCCACAGATCGCTCCCTCCTCCTTCACTTTCTTCCTCTGACTTCCTGAACACCACACCACCCTCTCTTGATTTTCCTCCTCCGAACTGGTTTGCTCCTTCTCAATTGCTTTTGCAAGTTCCCGACTTCTGAGATGTCTTTCTTAAGTGTCAAAATGCCCCAGGGCTTTCCTGGTTTTCCTCTCTTCTGTAGCTACACTTACTCACTCCCTGGGTGATCTCATCCAGTTTCAGACTTTGTATTGCATTCGTAAGCTGGCAACTCCCAAACTCTCCCTCCCTCCCTCTCCTTTCTCCCACTCTCTCTCACACACACAGCCCCACAGACACAGTACAGATATATACAATGTATCTCTTGAATAATATATCCTGAACTCGAGACTCCTATCCAGCTGCCTACCTAATGCCTCCATCTAATAAATATCTCAAACTGAACAGACCTAAAACTGAGCTCTTCGCACGCATTCCTCTATAAAACCGTTCTAGCCAGTGTTCTTTATTTCAGTTGATTGCAACTCTATCTTCCTAGTTGCTCAGGTCAAAAACTTCAGGCTCATCTTTGACTCCCTTTTTTTTTTTTTTATGTTTTATATTTTATTTGAGACAGAGAGACAGAGCATGAACAGGGATGGGGCAGAGAGAGAGGGAGACACAGAATCTGAAGCAGCCTCCAGGCTCTGAGCTAGCTGTCAGCAAAGAGCCCGATGCGGGGCTCGAACCCATGAACTATGAGATCATGACATGAGCCGAAGTTGGACGCTCAACTGACTGAGCCACCCAGGCGCCCCTTTGACTCCTCTTTTTATCAACTCTATATTCAATCCATCAGCAAGGCTTTCTGAATTTACTTTCAAAATATATCCAGGATCCCTTAGCCATTGAAGCTACCTCTACCTGTCTCTTGGATTACTGAAATAGTCCCCTCATGGGCTCCTGCTTTTATCCTTTGCCTCTTACTCTCAATAGCTCTCAAAACCTAAGTCATCAAGGGGCGCCTGGGTGGCTTAGTCGGTTGAGCGTCCGACTTTCGCTTGGGTCATGATCTCACGGTTCGTGGGTTCGAGCCCCGCGTCGGGCTCTTTGCTGACTGCCAGCTCAGAGCCTGGAGCCTGTTTCAGTCTATGACTCCCTCTCTCTCTGACCCTCCCCTGCTCACGCTGTCTCTCTCCTAGAAATAAATAAAACATTAAAAAAAATTAAAAAAAAAAAACAACACCTAAGTCATCTATGCAACACCTCCATGTCAATTAAAAGCCAAAGTCCTCCCCCATGGCCTTCCAAGTTCTATAGATCAGCCCCTACTCCCCTAAGCTCTCTGACATCCATCATCTCCTACACCCTCCCCATTGTTCATTCTGTTTCAGCCACAGTGATTTCCTGGCTACGTTTCAGATGTGCCAGTCATGCTCCTACCTGAGGACCTTTGCACTTCCTGTTCCCTCCCCCTGGAACCACCTCCCTAAATAGCCACAGTTTGGTTCCTTAGTTTCTTCCGGTCTTTACTCAAGTATCTTCTTTCTCTGTTTTTTAAAATTTTATTTGAGAGCGAGAGAGTGCACACGAGAACATGCAAGAGGGGGAGAGGGACAGAGGGAGAAAGACAGAGAGGTATCTTAAGCAGACTCCACACTCAGCACAGAGCCGGACATGGAGCTCAATCCCACGACCCTGGTGTCACCACCTGAGCCGAAGTCAAGAGTCAGACGCTCAACCAAGTCCCCCAGGCATCCCTCAGATATCTTAATGAGGCCCACTCTGACCACCCCTTGTCAATTGCAACACATGCTTCATTTCTTAAGCGTCTCTGTATGTTCACCATAGCACTTACTGCTCTGATTTGTTTTCCTGGGGATTATATTGTCTCTTCTCCCCCTCCCACCACCACCTCTGCACCCCTCTTCCCAAACCAGCCAAGCTTCAGGAGAATAGCAATCTGATTGCTGTCTTCAGCAATATATCCCAAGTACTTGGAATAGGATCTGGCACAAAGTTGATGCTCAAAACGTATTTGTTAAATAAACAAAGGAATAAAGAGCTTGCCGTTCAGAAGTTTTTTTGATCTATTGTTTATACAAGCCATTTATACCATGATGCCAAGATGCTAAATCTACAGGTTCCGTATAAACTGCACAATTATCGGGAATCTTGTCATAGGGATGACCATTTGTACTCCGGCAAGACAAATGTTGGGCTGTCCCAGGGGTCTGTTTTATTTTCATAGATGTGTTTCTACTTTTCTAAGAAAAATACTGTTGGCTGCAAAGATTTGTTCTTTGAACTCCAGTACTTCTGAAGTGCTGAAT